AAACACAACACAGTTGAGGAAGTTCTCAAGCTGAAGACAGAGGTTGGGAGGCTGCCCCAAGGACACATCCTATTTGCTTTTCCTGACTTTGCTCTTCCCTGTCTATTGCTTGCAGCCACTGCTGGAGACAGGATACTGAGTTGGAGGAGACCTTGGTCTGACCCAGGACAGCTTCTTTGATGAGCATCCTAGTCACAGTAAAGGATCAACTTCATCCCTTTTAAATTAGGAATGATTCAGACTCCCTATTCAGTTATTAGAAAGAGATGAACCTCAGTGAAAGACTCTAGCGAGACTCATCTTCCATTAATCATATAAAAATCATTCCCTCAGAAACCCAGTGTTATGTAGGATGAATATGAGTGCTAATACCATTTTCAATCTTACTGCAAAAATAAGGCATTAAAAAGTAATTTTCAAAGCCTTCATCTCTTGGAGAATTACACATAAAATTTTAAATACCTTATTTTCTCAAATAATTAAAATTATTAAAATAATTAAATAATTAAAAACTTTGACTTCTGCTGTAAATGGTGTAGTATTGTAAAAAACTCATCTGAGAAGACATCTAATGGTATTTTGACAGGAGCAGTTCTTAAATACATAAACAAGTTATTGTTTGTACAGACAAATGTTCTGTTTTCTTGCACAACTCATCTGGTCAGATCAGAACTTTTTTCAGACATATTTTTGTATGCTGTAGACGTACATTACATCATCTCTTGTCTATTACAGGCAAGCTCTAAACGGGCATGACCCTGTGAATTATCACATGGTCCCTTTTACTGATACTGCTTTTTTTATTGCTCTGCCTGAAAAGGCAGGTACCGCATTTACCTCTGCCCAATTAAACAAGTTTCATTACGGACAGGCAAAACAAAGCCCCAGACAACTAAATATCACTCTACAGATGGCCTAGCGCAGCATGTCCCAGCTTGAGCTGTCTGCACCCAGTCAGCCAGAAGACATCAAAAGGTGTTTGCAAAACAGCTAGAAAAAAAATCAATAGAACAAGCATGTATTCAAAGCCACACACACAGGCAAGGCAACAAAATGAGGGGAAATACAAATATTAAATGAGTACTCAAAGCTTGGCCCAACTTTCATTCAATTGTAAGTGAAACCCATTATTGCAATTCAGCACAACATGGCCTCAAATTTATTTTTCTTTTTCCAAAACCTGGGCTAGTTCTGTAGGCTTTTAAGCACTACAACAAAATTTATAACACAAAAAAATCACAGTGTCCAAGTCCTCTTGTAAAAGCTAGAATTTAGAAATCATATTAAAATCTAGGCAAGAAATGCAACCCTCGGGTGTTTGATAATTAAGCAATATGTTTAATTTTTTTTTGTCATGCATAATGCATCTATGTAGAGGGATGTGGAGCATGCACACATATGCAAAGTAGTGGTGAACTTCTCTTCTGTCCCTCACATTGCATGGATTCTGTGATTATTTTAGCAGCAGCATTTGTTTTTCCTTATTTCCATTGTTTAACTGGAACAAAAACAACCTGTAGCCTCACTCACAAAAATCATAAATCTCCCAGTTCAGTAGTCTGTTCAGTCAAATTGCGTTCAAGTTCTTGGGCACTGTGAGAACTCAGGCAGTCCAGGAAGTGTTTATACAGATAAGAGATTTTCAGAGAAGGAGGAAAGACTGTATGTGGGATTTCAGTTATTCTGGGTCTCAGAGCAGCAAAGAGCATGGCAGGGATTGCAAAGAGGACTGTGGATACAATAACATTACGCAGTCTTGCTCCCCTTTTAGGCACCTTCTCCTGCTTGAGATTCCAAGCATATGCACTGGGTAACAGGCTGTGAAGACTTGCTCTGATGTGCATGTCCATATTTGGGACTGAGAGGTCCCTGGCAGAGCCATTCACCTGCCAGCAGCATGATAGTAAGCATCACATCAAGAATGATGAACAGGCAACTTGAGGAGATATGAGCACCTTTTCACGTTGCCCGGAAAGATTATGATGGAAGAATTAAAGAGTTGCATGGCTTATAAACAAAAGCCAGAGTAAACAAAAAGCAATAACTTATCCCTCAGGAGTCATCAATTTCCCCTATTCTCACACCAAGTGCTGCAGCGTCAGAAATCTGTGTGTGCAGCCAGCACCAGGAAATCCTGACTCCTGGGATCTAAAGCTCAAAGGGATCATTAACTGCAGCAGAACAGCACACAGGCAGGAGCAAAGCTGGGAATGAGACACACAGGAGCCTCATGTGGATAGAGGGAACCCTATAAAAAGTATACTAAATGAAAGAGGGCGTCTGCTGCTTTCCCACTGGGAAAGCGAGCCACAGCTTCAGAGGGCAATGGGCAGAGAGAAATGTGAAATAATCTATCAAGGTGCTGAGAACTTCAATTCTGGGGCATTGATTTTATGTGGTTAAATGCAGCAGAGCTTTTAAATAATAAAGAAAATCTTAATATTAAAGGTTTCTTTCAACACATTGAAGGAATACACCACCAAAGTTTCTAAATCAATCTGCTCTGGGAAGCTTTCTGAAGTTGCTGAATCTCATGTAAGAGCGCAGGGGTACAGCAACAGAGGCTGCCTTCCTGCTTGCACACACTAAGCAAGTAATCTAATTAAATGCAAGTAATACAGGAAGTTTCCTTAACCCAGCCAGGGGACATGTTGTGATCCTGAAAGGAAGGTGCTGAAAGAGCATAAAAATTGCATAAATTCCCAATTTCATGGTCCCTGTAAAAGTTGTTAAGAGCTAGGTAAACAAACTTATTTTCCCAGTAGCATTAATGTAGTGGGAAGTGAAAGGATTAGTTTGATTTAACTTGTGACAGAACGCTTATAACCCATGCTGAGGGCTTAGGCCTTGCAGATGGGGTGTTTTCAAAGCATAGCTCTTACAGGCATGTTGCCTCGGCTGTTCAAAACTGAGAGTTTCTAAGGACATTTCAAGGTGTCTGGTTGGAATGCCTGCTTGGAGATCAGCAGCTTCCACACAAGCAGGGCTGCCCAATGACGTTCAAGAGCAAAGGTTGAAGTCACTGTTGGTAGAATAATGTAGATAAATAGAAAGGATGTGAAGATGAAATAAGAGTACCAAAGGAGAGTACAGAATCACTTGGGAAAGCCTTGCCCCTTGATTCGTGTAACTAAATAGCACAAATGTAAACACAAGGTTTCTAGGTTTGCTATTTGGATTTAGCAAATGTCTACTCATATACAAAAGGATGTAAAAGTCTACCCAAGTATTTGGACCAAGGAGCTATCAAACATATTCCAGAAGAGGTAACTGGGGGACAATAAGGCTGGGAGCAAAAAACTTTGCAACAGGAAATACGTGTATAAAAGGCAGGTATTGTATTTGATTGACTAGGGACTTAGGTTGAGTTATGATACACAAAGTCCTTAAAGCAATGTACAGCTGCAGACAAAAGCTGCTTTTGAGCCAATACCAACCTTATTACACTCTTCATTGAGAGAGATGAGGTTTTAGTTCATCAATTCAAAATATGCTTTTAGGGGTGAATCTCATGTTGTTGCTTTCCTAGATCAACTTCACTGTAATTGTCTCCTTTATACAATTGAAATGAAATTGCTGGTTATCCTAGACAGCCTCCCAAGGTCCATCATGAGCTCCCAGCTTGCTTTGAGGTGGCTTTGAGGTGACAGCTTGCTGAGCTATCTAGACACAGGCAGGCCCAATTTCTTATGGCAGGTAAAAAAAAGGGTAATAAAAAGCCAGGCTCTCAGGTAGTTCATAGTAGACTCATCTTCTCTAGACTGGCTACAGGGCCAAGGACAAATGCAAATGGATCATTTAGTCTATGTGCAGATATGTTCTGCATATACCACTAGGTTTTCTCAGGATTTGCCTTGTTTTGTGGGGGAACCAGGTGCACTGGGGATTAGCAGACATGATTCCCCATACCCTTTCATGCTGCTCTTCTCTGCTAGCTGCATGCAACAGGGCACCCAAACCCTGCCCTTATCTTCACCCCTTTCTCCCCTTTCAGCATCTGTTGGCATCTTCCTTCTAGCCTCTCCAGGTAGATCCTGACAAGGTTAAGAGTCAGATCCTTACTCCTCAGCTGAACTGCAGATACATCCAATATACAAATCACCTAGGGTCATGTTTCCTCTGCTGCTTTCTGTTTAGAAATTCTCCAATGCAGAGCAATGAGCACTTGAAGACACTATCAGACACACACCTACGCTCGAGGTCCCACAGTCTGTGACCTCCTGTGGCAGAGTTGCTGACTCCTTGCTGCTCATTCTAGCTACTTTTCTCTGTGTCCAACTTAGAGCTGTTGGGATTTCTTTGTTTGTCTTGCTCTGTTTACAGAGAAGCCGGCATAGTTGTGCTTCGTTATCCCACTAGGAAATCATCCAGTGTCTCACTGCAGAGGGGACAGAGGTCAGTGTTTGTCCAGCGCTTAGAGAGGCTGAAGAGGATTGACAGCAATAGCACAGCTTTTCCATGGTGCTCTGAGTAAAACCAGAGTCTGAACGCTGAACCCAGAAGAGCAACTCATGTTGTTTGTGTGTTAAAGAGCCTTCATCCTGACTATCCAGTCAGCAACATGCTAGTCCTACCACATCACCCGGCACACGACTGTGTTCATTGGCATGCTTGCCTGTTTATTTAGGTGTGTGACAGGCTTCCGTTGTTATTTGGATCAAACCTGCCTCATTATATTCATTCCAAGCCCTGCTTGCGTGCTGTTTTGGAGACATCTCCTAGACATGCAAGGCACCAAGGGGATTAATAACATTCATCCAAATGTTTTCCCAGAGGAAGGTGCGAGAAAGAAATACTGGTATTGACCTTGCAGTCTTGGGATACAAATAAGAGGCATTCAGAATATGAACAGGCTTAAGGCTTGAAGCAGCAGAAGGGGAATATTACACTCCACAGCAGTTCAAGCTGGTTTTATTTTCTGGAGACTGCCTCTAGTGCAAGACCTCAGGGAAGAACTGCTCTGCGCAGTTGCAGCCTGCAAAGAAGGGTGGGAGCACTGCAGAAAAACAGTGCTCTACTACATGGAGTGTTTTAAGAGAGACCTTGCCATCATCTCTGATCTAGAGATTGTCCAGTTCTGTTTATTTTTAATCTATGACTATCATCTGTGACACTTTGAGTAATAATGCTGTCGCAGCTCTCTTATTTTGGGAACTCAGTGTTCAAGGGCTTGCAGCAGCTGTAGCAGAAACAGCCACAATAGATTTTAATTATCTGGAACTGAAAAGACTGTCACTTGGGTGTTCACTAATAAGAATCTGTGTTGACATCCATAATCATGGCATGTCCTTAATAAAAAAAACAAATAAACTAATTTGGGGTACTAGAGCTGAAAAAGGAGAAGTATGTGCAAGTCTTCAGATCGGCTTGCAGCACCATCAGGACCTTCCAGGAGCTCCTGTATTTCAGGACAAATCTTTTAGAAGGGTAGTAGCATTTACTGGTGACGGGTTCCATAGACACATATCAGGCTAGTGGGGCCAAGTCCTCAAACATCAGCCCTTTCATTGCCACGAATATCAAGGGGAGTAAACCTTCCTCACCCTGAGCACTACACAGAACAGTGCTCACAGAACCGAGATGTTTCTGACTGACCCCATGAAGCCCACCTTTGGGGAGCTCCTGAAGGCAAGGTCTGGGTTTTGCACAGCCTGTGAAGCTGGCTCAAGAAATGACCTGCTGTTTGGGACATGGGAAGACTTGCTGGCTCCCTACCTCTTGCAGCAAGGGACTGGCACTGCCCAGCACCCCTGTGCCAACACAGCTTGGCCAAGACACCATCTGTGGTTTCAGAGCCATGCAATTGCCACAATGTGTGCCACAGAGGCCATTTCCAAGCAGTAAGACAGTTACAGCCAAACTCCAGTTTCCTGACCTACTTCCTGTTTTCCCACTGCACTTAAAGCCAAATTTTCCTCCTGCATTGGAAAACCTGGAGGGAGATTTCTTCTTACTCCTGATGTGGAACTCACTGTCTTTCACCATGCCATTCTGGTCCTTGATACCCTCGTGCATACTGTTCTCTCTCCAATACATGAATGCAAAATCAAACACAGCATTCATTATATGTGCGTTGACATGTAGTCCCATGTCACAGTATATAGCATACCTGCATCCGATCTCAGTTCGTCTCCTTGGCACCTGAAGCCTTGCTGGTCTTGCCACCTATGCCTGGCTTCTCAGGCAGTTTCTCAGCAGCATCTACATGAGGTTCTTATTTTTGGCTGTTTGATTTGAATACTTCCCGCTGGGAAAATATACCCTTACATGTTCCACCCTTGTAGATCTTCAAGACTTGACTACCAAAGTCCGTAAGCAATTTGATCTAATTAGATCTGCATAAAGGGGAGGTTGGACTAGATGGCCTTCAGAGATGCTTTCAAACCTAAATTATTCTGTGACTGTGATGCCTGAAACAAAGAGCAAAGAGGCCTGGCATCAAGTCAGTCAAGGTGGATGAAAAAGGATGGAGTTAAACATGCAGCAGAGAAGTGTAAGACAACCCTGAGGCCATGAAGTCAGGAAGGCAAAAATGAGAGGATTGGCAGCTGGATGGTTGAACCACCAGAGAGAGGTTTAGCGGGCCTTTTGGTGCCAAAAAGGGTTAGGATAATCTATGATAGATTTGGTGGTCCTAGTGGAACCCATCAGTGCAAGGCAGAAAACTAAAAAAGCAGTCTGAAAGTTTGAAGAAATCATTCAGCATGACTGCAGGCAGGACATGGAGAAAGAAATGCAAAAATTTGTCTTAAGTGCACTAACATCAGCAGAATGGGTTATGAATTTAACACTGCGCTTATAAAGTGCTGGACTTCTTTTCTGCTCTTGTTGGGTGGATGCAAAATAACACTTCACTTGTTGGAGAAGGAAGAAGCTAATATGTAATAAACACAGCACAGTCTAGACCCCCAACACAGGAGAAAATCAGAAAGGAAAGGATGTAAATATAGTTGAGTTAACTCTTTCATACTTTGACCAGCCCAGACTGAAGGTAGTTGCTCACTTTCTTTACTAAGTACAATCCCAGATCTGCCATTACCAACTCCAGAAGAGAAATATTACTTACATTATATGGTCAGGTAAGGTTCATGCTATTTTTGGATGAAGACAGGGTGCAGAACCCATGAGTGACTTCATTAAGAAAATAAAGATCTACAAAAGAATTTACCAACACATGGGCGATGATTGGAAGAGTGCAGAGTTACAGTCCCAGGGCCAGTTGGGCATGGGACATAGGGAGATTTTATGTGAAGGCTTTTTGTTTTGTTTAACAAGAAGTAATTCCATGAGTGGAAATCATGTTTATGACCCTTTTCATAAGCCTTTAAAGCCACTTGTTAGTGTTGGACACTAAATGGGATTTTGGCAAAGAAGTGACGAAGGAAGAAGCTTAACAATCAGTAAAAAACACTTCAAGAAAAGAATAAATATATATGCCTTATGATGATTATTATCCAGAAATAGATTACTTAATGTTTGAGGGACTATGTGCTGGTGAGACCCTTCAATCTGCCACCTTAGTGGGGGTAAGGTGTGGAGATCCATGTCACAGCAAAGACACAAGGGTTATTGATGTGTTAGAAACCACAGAAGCACCTGAGGAGAAAGTGAATAGGAATCAGGGCTTCTCCCCGCAAAATGTAGCAGGATCAGTAGCCCAACTGAAGTGCACCTCTGCCAACACACACAGCATGGGCAATAAACAGGAGCTGGAAAACATTATGCAGCAGGAAAACTATGACATAGTTGCCATCACCGAAGCATGGTGGGATGACTAGCACAACTGCAGTGCTGAGTGGATGGCTGTAAATTCTTCAGAAGAGACAGGCAAGGAAGTACAGTCAGCGGGGTAACCCTGTATGATAGGGAGTGTTTTGACTGTCTAGAGCTTGATGATGGTGATGATAGGGCTGAGTAGGGGGAATCAGGGGGAAGGTCAACAAGGCAGATATCATGGTGAGATTCTGTTATGGACATACAAAATATCCTGTAAGCAGCTGGAAGAAGTCTCAGTCGCTGGTCTTTGTTCTCATGGGGAGTTCAACTTACCAGATGTCTGCTGGAAATACAACACAGAGGAGAGGAAACAGTCCAGGAGGTTCCTGGTGTGGAAGATAACTTCCTGACACAGCTGGTGAGTGAGCCAACTAGGGAAGGCATCTGCTGGACCTGTTGTTTGTGAGCAGAGAAGGACTTGTGGGTGATGTGATGGTTGCAGGCCATCTTGGACTTAGTGATCACAAAATGAAAGGTCTTGATTCTTAGAGACGTTAAAAGTGAGGTCATCAATTGCCAACTCAGTCTTGCATAGGGCAGACCTTGGCCTGTGTAGGAGACTGATTAGGTTAAGGAAGTGGTCTCCTTTGAAAGCAGGTCTGAAGAAGGTCAAAGGAGCTCAGAAAGACTGGGCATACTTCAAGAAAAATGTCTTAAAGGCAAAAGAACAGTCTGACCCCATGTGCCAAAAGCCAGCAGAGAAGAAGACAGACCTGTCTGAACACAGAGCTTTGGCTGGAACTAAGGAAAGAAAGAAGATTTTATGACCTTTGAGAGAAGGGTCAGGCAAGTTAGAAGGCATACATGGATTTTGCACAATTATGCATACGGAAAATCAGAAAGGCCAAAGCCCAAATAGAACTTGATCTGGCTACTGCTGTAAAAGGCAATAAAAAAAGTTGCTATAAATGTATTAGCAACAAAAGAGGGCTAAGGACAATCTCCATCCTTATCAGATGCAGTGGTAAACAGTGACAAAGGAAGAGGAAAAGCCTGAGGTACTTAATGTCTTCTTTGCCTCAGTCTTTAACAGTAAGACAAGTTGTTCTCTGGGTACCTAGCCCTCTGAGCTAGAAGACAGGGATGGGGAGTAGAATGACACTCCTGTAATGCAACAGAAAATAGTCACTGACCTGCTACACCACTTAGACATGCACAAGGGGCCGGATGGGATCCACCCAAGGGGACTGAGGGAACTGGTGAAGTGCTCACTGAGCCACTTTCCATCATGTACCAGCGGGCCTGTCTAACTGGGGAAGTCCCAGTTGAGCAGAGGTTAGCAAATGTGACACCCATCTACAAGAATGGACAGAAAGAGGATCCAGGGGACTACAGGCCTGCCAGCCTGACCTCAGTGCAAGGAAGATTACGGAGTAGATCATCTTGAGGGTCATCACAGGCATGTACAGGACAACCAGGCAATCAGGCCCAGTCAGCATGGGCTTATGCTTAACTAACCTGATCTCCTTCTATGTCAAGATGACCACATAGTTGATGAGGAAATGGCTGTGGATATCGTCTACCTGGACTTCAGTAAAGCCTTTGATAACATTTCCCACAACATTCTGCTGGAGAAATTGCTCACCACTTGTACAGCTGGATGGCTGAGCCCAAAGAGCTGTGGTGAATGGAGTTAAATCCAGTTGGAGGCCAGTCAGAAGTGGTGTTCCCCAGGACGTACTACTGGGGCCAGTTCTGTTTAGTATCTTTATCTATGAACTGGATTAAGGTACCAAGTGCACCCTTAGTAAGTTTGCAGATGACATCAAGTTGAGTGGGAGTGTTGATCTGCTAGAGGGTAGGAGGCTCTGTAGAGAGATCTGGACAGGCTGGATCCGTGAGCTGTGGCCAATGGGATGAGGTTCAACAAGACAAAGTGCCGGGTCCTGCACCTGGGCCACAACAACCCCATGCAACGCTCCAGGCTTGGGGAAGAGTGGCTGGAAAACTTCTCGGCAGAAAAGGACCTGGGGGTGCTGATTGATGGAGCTGAACATGAGCAGCTTGTGCCCAGGCAGCCAAGAAGCCAACAGCATCCTGGCCTGTACCAGCAATAGTGTGGCAGCAGGGCCAGGACAGTGATCATCCCCCTGCACCGGGCACTGGTGAGGCTGCACCTCGAATCCTGTGTTCAGTTCTGGGCCCCTCACTACCAGAGAGACATTGAGGTGCTGGAGTGGGGCCGGAGAGGGGCAATGGAGCTGGTGAAGGGCCTGGAGCACAAGTGATGAGGAATGG